ACTGATGGAGAAAGTGAATTGGTTTCGAAATTTTACGTAGGAAGTGCTTGAAATTCTTTATAACTTAAAAAGGGTATTATTGTCTTTTTGAAACTATACCATTTTTTGTAATTTATATAACATTTTAAGGGTAATTTAGTCTTTTCAGTCTTGGAAGGCTATTGTGATGAATAGTAAAAAAATTTGGACGAATCAAGCATTCAATGCCACCTTCTCTGTCTTTTCTCTTCACTCGACCCTCTTTGCTGATTAGTACTTCTGTTCTAATCAAGTTAAGATCGAAGCGGAAAATGCAGGCCCTGTCCTTGTTCTCAGTAAATATTATTAGTCTTTTTGCTTAATTTTCTTTCTTTTAAAAAAAAAAAAAAAAAATCCATGCCCTTTCTGTGCCGCCGTTTCTTTCTGGCAAAACGTATACTTCCATTTTATATGTCATTTTTATGCATGAATAATCTGAAAGAAGATCCCCATAAATGCCAAACATTTTACTTATTCAATCCACATTTTACTTACGTGCAAAATATCTGTTACACTTTTTTTTTTCTCTTTTTTTCTTTTTTGTTTGGAAGAATAAGTAAAATGTGGATTGAAGAAGGTTACTCTATAACTCTCTGCACAAGTAATTACTCGGATGTAAAATCTGCTTTGATGTATTCATTTGGTCCTCTTAATCACATGTTGAAAAAGGCTTAATTTAGGCAACTGCATATGGTGTATCGATGTGAACTAAAGTTATTAAACAAGGATATCCATTTTTTTTTATCGGTCAATTAAATTAATATGGATTAAAATTCACGTACAAGTACTCCGACCATACCCGGGCAAACAACAATCAAGTGGGTTATACAACTATTCCGGACATACCTGAGAAAACAAAAGAGAAAAAGATGTACAAATGATATGGACTACTGGCCCATCATTAACGACTCAAAATGAATCAAAATATTTGGATACGAAGAGAACATAATTTTGTATACCTGTGTTTTGGTTCGTCTATCAACATGGGGTCTCAAGTCCTCAAAAATCCTCCTATTTCTTGCCATCCAGGTGTAGTAGACGGTGTTCGCTAATGTAATCATCTTGACCTTGCTTTGCCAAGAAGT